AAAAGGTTAATCTAGAAATTTCTTGAGGGCAGAATGTGTCTCCTGCTCTGAGCCTTCACTAGGCCCCAGGATGGAGCTCAGGGCATGCCAGGCCTGTGATGTGTAGAGTGATCTTAAGAAGCTGAGGAAGTAGGAACCATCGACACTCAGCCCCCTCATACTCCATCTCTGCACTAGAACACACCGGCTGTCACTCTCCTGGGGCAGGTGTCTGTCCACCAGCCCCTCTGCTGCCCTACTCTCCTCCATCCCCATCTCTCAGCCTCTTTCATTGGTAGAAGGTGAGACCTGAGTCACTCTGCTGGTTCCTAACTTCAAGCCCGAAGGATTATGAGCCAGCTGGAGAATGCTGGCTGCTCATTTGAGGTTTGCCAGGTGACCCCAGACAGGCTCCTGTAAGCCTTCCCCTTCTTAATCCCGACTCTCTGGACCCTGACCACATCTGTGATCACTACATCATTTAAGACACATCATTCGTCTACAAGGAAACCGAATTTCAGAGGCTAAAATGTCAGGCGATGGCAATGGGGCTGACGACTGCCAGGTCTCGGTGACGTCTTTGGCAAGAAGCAGCCTCTGTGTTCTGGGCCCCAGCAGGGCTTGAGATGGCAGGGTAGCCTTCTCAGCTCTGCCACATCCTGTGTTCCTGGGAAGCTGAAGTGAGTCCACGCTGGAGAAAATAACTTGATCTCAACAAAGATACATGCTGTGGATACCACTCTGTATAAATAAAATGCTGATTGGCCAGTAGCCAGGCAGGAAGGGACAAGCAGAGAAGAGAATTTTGGGATGTGGAAGGCTGAGGCAGGGAGACGCTGCCAGCCACCATGATGAGAAGCAACATGTTAAGATACTGATAAGCCACGAGCTGCGTGGCAACTTACAGATTTATAGAAATGGGTTGATTTAAGATGTAAGAACTAGATAGCTAGAAGCCTGAGCCGTTAGGCCAAACACTTTAAATAATATAAGATTCTGTGTGTTTATTTTATAAGTGGGCTCCAGGACTGGTGGGACTTGGCGGGAGCTGAAGAGAAGCTCTCCAGCTACAGATACAGGCTAAACAAACCTGAGCTACGTAATCTTAGACCCCGAACTGTGGCACCACACACTGACTAGTGAAAAGGTCAGAGTCTGGAGGACATGAGTAAGCCCTTTAATGTTCCCATGTTTGTGTGCAGCAAAGACACAGCATCAACTCTTGGGACCACAGGACTCTGGGGCTCACGTAGCCTTCTTCTAACAAGAGCTGTGTTCCCTGAGCAAGGCGACAGGGGCCACCCAAGTTCACTTATAGACTTTTTATTAGAAAAGAGTCGTATGTGTGTTTATGTATGTGTGTGTGTGTGTGTGTGTGTGTGTGTGTGTGTGTGTGTGTGTAATATAGTGTTTGTATCCCTCTCTGGTGCTGGTGCTTGTGGATCAGGTGTAAGCTCTCAGCTACAGCTCCAATGCCATGACTGCCTGCCTGCCATGCTCCCCACCATGATTGTCATGGACTTACCCTCTGAAGCTGTAAATGCTCAGTTAAGTGATTTCTTTTATAAGTTGCCTTGGTCGTGGTGTCTCTTCACAGCAATAGGAATGTAACTAAGACAGCCACCATCACCACCATCATTACCACTGCCATCATCACCACCACCAACTCTACTACACCACCACCAAGGCCACCAACATTATTACCTCCATCTCTACTACACATCATCATGACCACCACCATCATAAGCACATCACCAGCACCACCGGCACCATGACTACCGCCAGCCACCACCAGCACCATGACTACCGCCAGTCACCACCAGCACCATAACCACCGCCAGTCACCACCAGCACCATGACTACCACCAGTCACCATGACCACCATGACTACCACCAGTCACCACCAGCACCATAACCACCGCCGGTCACCACCGGCACCACTGCTGCCATCACCCCCAGCACCATAACCACCGCCGGTCACCCCCGGCACCACTGCTGCCGTCACCGTTCCCACCATCAGCACAGAAGCACAAGTGCCATCACCATCACTGTCTCATCCCCAAGGAACAGCGCCCTCTCCTGTGGTGTACCGACCGGCTCAGGGGCAGCCCGTTTGTTATGAACCCCTTTCCCAGGATCTCTCTGCCCCTCTCCTGCCCTGCTATCTCATTGTGCTTTTTCTTTCCTTGCCTGGCTGGGGAAATTTCTTCAACAATAAATGTAATTCCTTAAGAATCTTATCAAATAAGTTGAGAATATTAAACATCAAAGAAGAGGGGGGAAAAAAACACTAAATTTGGGCAAACTCCCGTCAGACTTGATCTGCTCTTTTG